TATACATTAAAAAGATAGTAAATGCATGTTAGAAAATAAATACCTCACCTTCAGGCAAGATTTACTCAAGCAAAGTAATTCATGGACAAAGCATATCATCCTCCGGGTTGGAAACATACTGAGCTGGATTCAAGAGACCAAGATCATACTGTCCATCGCGTGAAATTGCTTCAGGACCCTTCAGTGCATGCTGTTGAATGAACTCTTGAATAACGTCACTTTGAGCTGTAGGCATTGTCAGTCGCCAACCCCATGCTAGTAATGCTAAGGGCTGAAATAATAAAAAAGGTTCAGTAAGATACAAAATACCTTCAGTTCATTAATTAATTAAAAAACAAAAAAAAAACAAACAACAACAACATAAGAGAGTATAAAGAAAACTAGAAACAATGTCCAATATTTGCACTGGCTTATCATATGAAGATATAAATGTGAGGAAACACTATGTACTGCCAAGATGATGTTCAAGAAGAAAAGTGAGGTAGAACACAAACAAATGAGTAAAGGGGGCCTGTAATGCGCTCCTACAGGAATTTCAAATTGAACATTCATTGAAATGACATATTTACTAATTAGCACGCTTTGAGAGTTCAGAATTTACTATCAAATTTAATGGACTAACAATTTTACAAAGAACACCAAAATTCGCTGATTCCATACATTGTTTCAGGAGTGAAACATTTTTTTTTTTTTGTGAATAGTAAACACAAATGACAGTTAATTGCTAATTATTCAAAATTTGAAGTGCCTAGTTTCTATTACACCAAATAAGGTTTCTTAAATGATGTACTTTACTTACTCTTTCTGGATCAAGAAAATTTGACGGAGATATAACATGCCTCCACAAGCACTTCGAGACCAATTGTCGTAAACGATTAACTTCCACAGGATTTGCACATGGATGATACAATGCAACAATTCCTCCGTGCTGCAAAGAAGGTCATTACTCAAATCAACGGATGTTTGTTGTGAAAAATTCTCTTTAATAATAAATGTAGTACAGTGAAATCTGCTGAAATGCTAAGCAGACAACTTCATTAACAGTAATTTTTGCACAGGACAGATTGATTTTCCCATAAGACACATGAAAATATTCTCTCTTTTAACCAGACATCATTTCCCGTGGGCAGCTGACATGAAACATTTTGCAGATTAACCTGTATTACATCACACTTTCTGAGTTTGAGATTTTGATCCATAATGCTATAATGCCTGTCCAATGACCAAGGTCCCTAAGGCACTAGTGAAGTGGCAAGCTCAGTTTGGTGGGTTGCAGGTTCGAGTTCCGTGTAGGAAAGGTTGTTCACCTGCGAGTTGTGACCTCCCACCAGACATCATTCTCCCCTGTTTCTGGCCACTTCAGGGGGCATAGAAACATGCGTTACAAATATGTGAATGTTACACCTGGATGATGCCATTCCTTAACGCCCAAATGTGGGAATGGAGATACCTAGGTAGACATCATGAAGAACTGAATGACTTTGCATACATATTGTTCAATAAGTAAACAAGCAAAAAAGCATCAGATATTAAATAGATTCAGTGTATTTATATATTAAGCAACTGATATTAACTTCCTTTCAAATAGCAAAATTGGACCAGATGCCTACTTCACGTATCTCCATCATAAGCATAATAATCTCAATCTCATAATCTCCATCATTCTCTTAATCATGAGCTAGCTGTACCAATGTTAATTCTTTTCTGGAACCATGACTGACCGCTAAAGACAGGTTACATTGTACTACATTCAAATCTTGTCTATACTAAGAGAGCAGAATATTTTGAACATGTAAAACCATCACATACATACTGTGTTTCCTTTTAATTCATTCTTGAAATTAATATCTGTCTTCTGTTTATAAGGTTTCCCTGTCTCTCTCTCACTGACACAAACTAAAATCATCTTTCTTTCATATTTCATGTTTAATTACTAATTTAATTAAGAAAACCAGAACAAGAATTGTCTCATAGAAATTTTAAAAATAAAAATGCAGAAAAAATTCAGAAATGCAGTGCACTAAAAACAGTCTGAAAATTAATTTCTAGCATTTAAATTCATTTAATGTTGGATAAAAAGATGTATATTTATTTCTCATTTTCACAGTTTCTTAATTTTATAACAGAGGGGAGGGAAACGTAATTCAAAAACGTAAACGTAAACAAAAACGTGATTCAAATCATTCCAGCATGTTGAAATATTTATAAAAAGAAAAAAACGATTAAATAAGTTAGTTAAAGTTTATTAAGACAATTCCTCATACTTTTGTTGGTTGGTTAATTTTAAAAAGTTTTCAGAAGTGGCTTCAAAAGTTTCCCTGAAAATTTCAATATTAAAAAATGCTTTCCTGTAATATTCTCAACATCTGATTTCAGTTAATCCATAAGGAGACAAAAAAATTGTGAAGATGAATGTGATTTTTGAAAAATTACAATTTCCTCTGCGTATAAATATTATAGAAAAGGAAACTCAACTATATTTTATTCAGCAAATTTCTTTGTTACATTATTTAAATGAGTTAATTTTTTTCATTACTGAGCATGTGGTTGATATTTCTTAAAGCTACATTGTTAACATTGTGTTTAGGCAACAAACGAAGTCAAATGTCATTGAGACAGAAATTCAAATTTGAAAAGCACATAATTTCACATTCATGGATCATGAAAGTCAATTTTACTTGAATGGTTATTATTTTAATGAAATTAGACTAGGTAAAAGATTGTGGCACCTCTGGGTTTGAAACTCAAAAGGTATGAATGTTTTCGGAAAATTTTTATTTCATTTATTTTTTTGTGCATGTGGACATTACCACTCTCTTGTGTATCACTCAATATCTTAATCTTTCCATAATCCCTTGCCATCACTGATAAGTGTCTCCTATCTACCTGTGTGTAATTGAGGAATTTGTTCCCTAGATCCAAAACAATGGTTTTGATAGATTGATTAGTGATTCTGGGTGTGTCCTCTACCAAGGCCATTAATCTCGTAAGTGTAGTGCGTATTTTATCATGGGAGGTGGTGGTAGCGATCTTCCCAACTGTAAGGCATGATTTGGAGTCATCATCAGTTTGCTCAAACAAGTATTTTCCCAAACCAGGTATCTCCTATTAGCAGGACACTGCCCCAGCTGGAACAAGCTCCCAACCAATCTCCTGGCATGTGTGGTAATGTAGCGACTGTGAGTGTAAGAGGTGAGGATAATGCAAGGAAGAAGGAAAGATCGCACAGTGTCTGTGGCCCATTTGTTCGGGTACTGCTCCAGCATTTGCCTGGTATTGTTAAAAGAAACCACAGAAAACTACCAATCAGAGCACTAGAATTTTCGAGTCAGTGACTGGATTTGACATAGCTATATATCTAGAGTTGAAAATCCTGCCATTGCGGGGACTTCAACCCTAGGAGCTCCCAGTCAGAGCACTGCAATGACATTAGTGCTCTAAGCCACCTTTGCCGGTCAAAACAATGATACACCCACCCATATGGGGCTAAGGACTATCAGGGCATGTAAAGGTATAGGGCTGAGATGGGGCTAAGGGTTTCTTCAACATGATGTTCGAGTGGCATAAGGAAGCTCTTCTTGAAGCATTGGTTCCACGAGAGGGAGAGTTATGAGAGGCACTCATAGGTCCCTTATGCACTGATAGATGCCTGCCAGGAAGGACGAGGGGAAAAACCAAAAAGATAGCCCAAATTCAAAAGGGGACAAACTCAAATGAGAAAGTCAGAGCCATTCTGTAGTTTTCTATATTTTGTTTAGCATAAAATTCAATTTGCCATTGGTCTACCTCACTTACACATTGCTTGACAAAATATTATATTTTGATGTATCTTCCTCAGCAGACTTATAATGCACCTGAGTAGTTCTCTTTTAGATCATTGTAATTTGTACAATACAGACACAGAAGTTTCAGACATGACAACTTTACAAAAAATATTTCTTTGCAAGGATGGAGTGTCTCTCAGTGGCGAAGCTAGTCACAGTATTCTGAAAATCTTACCTTACACTTTTTGTACATCAGCTCCATTCATTAGGCTTATTGTTCAGTAAAAACTTTGATAACTTCATTTCTAAGCTGTCATCTCTTGTAAGTTAATTTAGAAGATACTTTTCAATAGCCAGTGTACTCAAATTACTGAGCCTAATATTTCTCAAGGAATTTCTTAGGAATGTCTTCACTGTCTTTCATGTAATCATATTCCTTTTACATAATGCTGTAGATTCAGGGAAAGTTAAACAGAGTTGTATCAACCAAACCATCTGTTGATATTTCTTTTCTAGACCATTGTCCAAGAAATATTTCAGCAACAAGTCTGCAGTCAAGTATTTTGCATTATCTGCAACTACATTCGTCAGTTCATTTTGAAGCTGTTCACTGTCAAAATATATATATATATATATATATATATATATATATATATTTATTTATATTGTTTTATTAAGGAAAAAGAAAATTCTGAAGAAAAGGAGAATTTTGTAGATAGAAAACTACTCTTCATCAAGAAATTCGATAAATTGATAGTTTCTAAATTTTTGAAATTGATATTCCATCCAAGTCACTTCTGCATCAAACATTTTAAAAGAAATAATTTTTTGTCTTTCAAATAATTCTGATCCTGAAAGTTTACTCATGGTCATTTCTGCTTTGAAGCAGTTTACAATAGTATCTTCATATCCACCATGGAACATTACTACATATATCTACTATTTCTTTTTCTATGGCAGACTTCTTGCCACATGATTGAGCATTGTTGAGCGAAAATTGCATTTTGATATCATGAACTGTTTAAAGTATATGGGAGTGGCCTAGAGTTGGTGGGACATTCTCTATAACACTAAATCTGTAGCTTCATTAATTGTTTCATGAAGAAAACACAAAACAAATCACAGAAACAACCCACTCTTATTTATCACAACATTAAGGGGAGATGAATTATTTGCCACATTGGCCAGGATGTGCTGTGTGGCACAAGTCTGTGCATGCTGAGAGCCTGGCAAGGAGCCTCGGCTCCCTGCCCAGCAAGTGTGAGAGAGAAGGAGAGAGTGGGCGCTCCTTTGTGCACATGTATGACAGAACTAGCTGATGTCTGTTCACAAGCTCCCCATAGGCTCCCCGTTAGCTGGCTCAGTGGCCCTGCTGATTCCCCTGCACTGAAGCGGGAAAAAGAGAGCCGAAAACATTTACTATTTTTTAACAGTTCAGTAAACAAATATTGAAAAAAGGCACACAAAACAGATTTTGTTAAAAAATAATTTGAGTATTCTAAGGCTCCCAGATTGCCCTTCAGCTTCACCACTGGTGCCTCTAGTGCTCAAATGCGACACTGACAGACCAACTAAATTAATACTGGTTTCATGTAAAAATTACAGTAAGAGATGTTTTTGTCATTATTTTCTGGACTTCAAGGAGTGCGGTTGACCTCAAACCTTGGGCTGTGATACTCAAAACCTTGTAGGAGGTGTAGAAGTTAAAAAATTGGGATGAGTACCAAACACTAAAGGAGTGGCAGTATAAAACACTAGTCACAACAAAGAGGTGAAATAATTGAAAGAAAACAATTCACCAAAGAAACAATTACAATGCATCATGAAGCTGTCTTTTTTTCCTATTAAATTATTGAATCTATACCTTTCTTACCCTGTAATTAATATCAATGAACCCTATTAACCTTCTGTATACACTTTTATTGCCTCTTGTTCTCCTTATGCTTTAAAGCAATGGTTGCAAAACTTTATCTTGACTATCACTTTAGGTCTGACTGGGTGGAGTACATAAAGCTCTGGAAAAATATGAATTTTTCTAAAAGAGAGCATCTAATAAAAAGTGAATAGCCTTATAGCACTCACTTGAAGGCCAAATGATTGGCGATTATACAATAATAAAAGACTATGATAACGATCTCAAGATAGAACATTGTCATTTAAGATTAAAAGTATAGCAAAATTATATCTTCTTGTCTTAGTACATTCCAGTTGCACAACTCAGACCATTTCAAAATTCTACCTAAATAGAGATTTCTGTAGAAAGCACAATAAAAGTTAAACATCTGGTTTAAAAGGAGAATCAACTGACCTCCAAATTGTGCAACCATCTTTGCCTTGGAACAAATTTATATTCTCCATAACGAGGCCAAAGGGGGCGATGGGTACCACTGTCAAATAATAAGAAGAAATTATAAAACGGAATTTTCATTAGAAATATGTTCAGAATCAATGCAAGCAATCAACTTACAATGTAGGCAACAAAGTGTCATAACTGATGGGTTGGTCCATGCATTTATGCTGTGCCTGCAAAATGAAGTACAAATTTCCATTATTACATACAAAATTCCTTTCCTGTGCACATTATGTACCTTGATATTTGATTGAATGAAAACAATAAAATTACTGAAACTTACAATGTAAAATCGAGGGATATTTTCACGCTCCAAAATAGGTTGAACACTTTCATCAGGCCTAATTCTGAACCTACTAAAACATGTATAGTTAACTGGTGAAAAATCCCAATCTAAAGTCAGATTGCTCTGGGGGGAAAAACAGAAAAATGCAAATACATACAATTAAAGTTTTTCTACAAACCACTTACGTGAAGAAGTTAACATATGTCACATGAACTTACACGAGCATCATCACACACTGGAGAAGCAACTCCCATCTTAACACCGTGGGAGTCATCTTCATCAGTTGATTCTGTGGCGACTTCTACGGGGGGTCTTTCGGGCAACCAACGGCCTGTCCACGTCTCCACTTTTGGCGTTGTTACTTCAAATGATTGAGAACATACAGCTCCCAAATACAATAAAAGGGCAGCAGCTATTAACAATTCTTTTTGCTGTGGACGCGGCATTTTCTGCGCGCCTAGAAGCTGTGAACTAAACGTCAATTGATTCTAAATTGCTTCCAATTACTTAATAACAACCACCATATTAAAGATATGAATCCCCCTGGAAGGTCAGTATCAATAACTTCGCGCTTCTGGAATTCTCACTTTCAATTTTAATAATTTTATTTACATTTACAAAACGAAAAACAACGATACTCATGTCCCACCTGTTACACGCCTTCCAAAACTTCAAGGATAAAGTGAAACAAGTGTTTTCCTCTCAAATGGCAAACTATCGATTGTATATCGAATTGATGCAGCGAAAATCCCCATGGCGGAAATACACACAAATATACGATCAAATTCTTTCTCTGTGTTTTTAATTCAAAATATTGTACACTTCTCACAAATTATGTTTAAAAATAAATAGTTCGTATTAAATATAACAGTAGCGCGTGCGTTAATATTTTGAAAACAGTATGAGAGATATACGAATGTTTCTCAATTCCTTTGAAGAATCAATTTCTTCTTTTGATCATAGTAATTTGGTTAGTATGTTAAAAAAATTTACGAAAAGAAATCCTTTTTTAAATAATTTTATCTTTTGGACGAGAGACACGAAAATGAAACCTAAAAAATATACTTAAATAATTTTATTTATAAAATAGGATAAACATTATTATAATTTGTGTATTTACTAAAAATAATAAATATTTTAGAAATTTTACTAATTTTTGAATTGTTAAATAAATTGTTAGGTGAGGTACCGAAATTATTTTTGTATGACAGTTCGATTCACCTAGCGGACGTACAACGTACTTCATTTCTTGTGCAATTTCATTGGTACGCCAGAATCGCACCTCACGTTTCTTTTGTTCTCCAATAGGAAGCAGCGATATTGCTTCGCATACCAAAAGTCAAAAATATTTAGTGCAGAACATTCTGTCTTCTAGAAACAAAATTGTCCGATAAGACGGCGTGTGTGTCCGATGTCTAGTGCTGAAGTGGTGGGCAATTCGGTTGATCCTCCAGCCAAGAAGCGGAAACTTGCTACAGGAGACTCAACTGGAGCGAAATCCGTTTCACAGGCTATTTCAGACATGGCGCAGAATGGATCAGCCTCAACTTCTCAAGACATCGATGAAGGACTATATTCAAGGCAGCTTTATGTTTTGGGCCATGATGCTATGCGCCGCATGGCCAGCTCCGATGTACTTATTTCCGGGCTTGGTGGGCTGGGAGTAGAAGTTGCTAAAAATGTGATATTAGGTGGTGTGAAGTCCGTGACACTGCATGACGTAGCCCAATGTAAGATCGAGGATTTAACTTCGCAATTTTATTTGTCCGAAGATGATGTAGGAAAAAATCGTGCCGAAGCTTCTTTGCGGCAATTAAGCGAATTAAACACATATGTTCCAACAGAAGTTTATACTGGCGAGCTTACTGAAGATTATATTAAAAAATTCAGAGTGATTGTCTTAACCAGTAGCTCGTTTGCGGAACAGTTAAGAATATCCGAGGTTACTCATGCTAATAATATTGCACTTATCATTGCTGATACCCGAGGATTATTTGCTCAAGTCTTTTGTGACTTTGGGGATGAATTTTCTGTTGTTGATGTAAATGGAGAACAGCCAGTTTCAGCAATGATTGCAAGTATTTCACGGGATGAAGAAGGTGTGGTTACATGCCTTGATGACACTCGCCATGGTCTGACAGATGGAGATCATGTGACCTTCACTGAGGTGCAGGGCATGACTGAACTCAATCACTGTGAACCACTAAAAATCCGCGTCCTTGGCCCTTATACATTTAGCATCGGAGATACTAGTAAATATGCAGAATATATCAGAGGAGGTATTGTAACTCAGGTCAAAATGCCCAAAGTTGTAAATTTTAAATCCTTGAAAGATTCTATTAAAGAACCCGAATTTGTTATGACAGATTTTGCCAAATTTGACCGCCCACCTCAACTCCATAGAGCTTATGCTACTTTGCATAAATACATTGAACAAAAAGGAGAATTGCCAAAACCTTGGAATGAGGATGATGCTGAAGCATTCTTGGGTGTAGCAAAAAGCAGTGGTGATGATGGAGATGCTGATGTTGATTTAATGAAACTTTTTGCCAAAATTTCAGCTGGTAAAGTGCCTCCTTTGGATGCTGCAATTGGTGGTATTGTTGCTCAAGAGGTAATGAAGGCCTGCAGTGGCAAATTTTTCCCAATTTTCCAGTGGTTGTATTTTGATGCTTTGGAATGCCTACCATCTGACTTGAGTGAAATTACTGAGGAAGAATGCAAGCCAACTGGGTCTCGTTATGATGGACAAATTGCAGTGTTTGGTAGTTCTTTCCAGAAACGACTAGGATCTCTAAAATATTTTGTAGTTGGAGCTGGTGCTATTGGCTGTGAGTTGCTAAAGAATTTTGCAATGATGGGAGTTGGAGCCGGAGAGGGTGGTCAGATAACTGTCACTGATATGGATCTCATTGAAAAATCTAATCTCAACAGGCAGTTTTTGTTTAGACCCTCTGACGTTCAGAGAGCCAAGTCTAGCACAGCTGCCAAGGTAATAAGACGCATGAATCCTTCAGTTAATGTTGTGGCTCATGAAAATAGAGTTGGCCCCGAAACTGAGAAAACATATGATGATAACTTCTTTGAAAATTTAGATGGTGTAGCCAATGCCTTGGATAATGTGGATGCTCGAATCTACATGGATAGAAGGTGTGTGTATTACCGGAAACCGCTAATAGAATCTGGAACTCTAGGTACCAAAGGGAACACACAGGTGGTTGTTCCATTTCTTACTGAATCGTACAGCTCCTCTCAGGATCCTCCTGAGAAAAGTATTCCCATATGCACCTTGAAGAACTTTCCCAACGCTATTGAACATACACTACAATGGGCTAGAGATTGCTTTGAAGGACTGTTTCGACAAGCTGCCGAAAATGCTGCTCAGTATTTGGCAGATCCAAATTTCGTGGAACGTACTCTGAAGTTGCCTGGTGTTCAGCCTTTAGAAGTCTTGGAATCTGTTAAGCAGGCTTTAGTTGACCAGAGGCCAAAAAGTTTTAAAGATGCAGTGGCCTGGGCTAGGTGCTATTGGCAAGAACAATATAATGACCAAATTCGGCAGTTACTTTTCAACTTTCCTCCTGATCAAGTAACTTCAAGTGGCCAACCTTTCTGGTCAGGACCAAAACGCTGTCCTCAGGCCTTGGAATTTGATGCAAATAATTCTCTGCATTTAGATTTTATTATTGCTGCAGCCAATTTAAAAGCAGAAGTATATGGTATCCCTCACTGTACTGACCGTGAAGCTGTTATTGCAATGCTGGCTGATGTCAAAGTTCCCGAATTCACCCCTAAATCAGGAGTAAAGATTGCAGTTACAGATTCTCAGATGCAGGTATCAAATGGAGCAGGTGCAGTAGATCATATTCGGATTAGCAAGTTGCAGCAAGACTTACCATCACGTGATTCTCTTGGAAGTCTGAAGATCACACCAATTGAATTTGAGAAGGATGATGACACTAATTTCCACATGGACTTCATTGTTGCTGCATCTAATCTTAGAGCTGCCAATTATAAGATACCTGCAGCTGACAGACATAAGAGTAAATTAATTGCTGGAAAAATTATACCAGCTATTGCCACCACCACTTCTGTTGTAGCAGGCTTTGCTTGCTTGGAATTATTTAAATTGGCCAGAGGATTTAAAACTCTGGAGCCATACAAGAATGGATTTGTGAACTTGGCTCTGCCTTTCTTTGCCTTTTCAGAACCCATTGCTGCTCCAAAATTGAAATACTATGAAACTGAATGGACCCTTTGGGATCGATTTGAAATTGCTGGGGAATTGACTCTTCGGGAATTCCTTGATTATTTCAAAGAAAAATATAATTTAGAAATAACAATGCTGTCTCAAGGAGTATGTATGCTGTATTCTTTCTTCATGGCCACTGCCAAATGTCAAGAAAGAATGTCGCTGCCGATGTCTGAGGTAGTGAAAAAGGTATCGAAAAGGAAAATTGAATCCCACGTTCGAGCACTAGTATTTGAGCTTTGCTGCAATGATGTTGATGGAAATGATGTTGAAGTTCCTTATGTTCGCTACACTCTTTCCAACTAACCTTTGTACGTTTCCTCTTCCTAACTCACTTGCAAACCAATCCACCCCTATTGACCTTTGCACTTGCACTGCAGCCAAAAGATTGTTTAATTATCACTTGGATCACATCATGAGAAGAAGGTTCTGTGTAGAAGATTTGGTAAATGTGTGGGGTGGAAAAGAAAAATGTCAGCTGCTAGTGCAAGACATGGACTGTGTGATACATTGACAGAACTGGTTTCTTGCCACAGATGGGTTCTACATTGTTTAAAAATGGCCTTTTGTTCTCAAATCATGAAATGTGGTACTGATTTTTCGTTCTTTGATAGTAAACAAAAGTTATGACAACTTGTATATTTTGATTCTCCATATCTTCTCAAAGTAAAATATAGTTAATGTAGATGCTTGGTTCAACATCTGTACTAATATTATTCGCATACAAAACGGCTGGCTGAATGAAGTGAAACATGCCTTTGTATTTTGTGTCACCGAATAATTGGAGAACTTGGGGTGGTAATGCATTTGTAGTGTGGTTTTAAATTTGATGAAAACTAAAAAAAAGAGCATGAAAATGTCACTTTTATATTGTGTATTGAAGAAGGTAAATGCATTTTCTTATTTCATGTGTTAGAGTAGACTCAGAATATAGTAAATACTTTTATAGGTACACCATTCTCAAGTGTAAGGCCATGTGATTTTTTATATGAAAAAAACTTTTAATTGTGTTGAAATTACTGGCATAACATGGTTTAGTACTTGCAGTTTTGAAACTTAAGTATTTATTCACAATAAGTTATTATGCTGATAGAACAAACTGGTGTACTAGCTTAATGTGAACTCGAGTGATTTAGATAATTTTTAAGCTTCTGTATATCCTTTATATATTTATATACGCAAGGATTCTTGTTCTGAAATGAAGTTATTTATCCGGTGAGAAATAGTAATTTACAGGAACTGTCATTGCAGTGAATTGTTTTCAAATAATTAATTTCCCTTGCCTAATTAAGATTTTGTGCAGATATGGTTGTATTTCATGAATTAGTGTGCATTGTAATGAAGGTGACATGCTATTGTTCGATTACATTCTATATTAAAATATTTAAAAAAAGATGTTGAGTATAATTTCATATCCTACTTCACTCCCAATTTATTTCCTTTCATTCAGTTTGATTATAACTGATTTTTTGTTTATTTTAAACATTTTAAAATATATTTTGCATCTTTTAGTAATTAAGTTAACCATGGAAAATTGATATGGAACTTTTTTTTTACTAAAAGTGTGAATTTGGTACAATGCAACAAGAATACTAATATTGTAATTACTCATTAAAAGAAAAATTCACCGGACTTGTTGAAAATAGTTCTGATGAACTCTTAGATTAAAGAAATGCTAGGAAGGTCCATAGCTGCAAAAGCTTGTTTTACTGTTTTATAATTTATATTAAGTAAACATTAGTGAAAGAATTTACTTTCAGGCAAATCTTGTAGGTGTCCTGCAGCTACTACCATATCACATCTTCAAATACCTGTTCATATTAAAAAGTTCAGCTGTAATTCTTGTAAAAACAGTTAAGGTATCCTGCTGAAATTGTGAATTATAATCTATTAAATGCATATTGTAATTACATTTATCACAGCCTCTTCACAAGAAACATCCCAAAATTTTTAGAAATGGCTGAATTGCAGACATTTTTAATCTCTTCTCAAACCCTTTATATGGATGCATCACACCTTGTAAAAAAATGAAAATGTACCCCAAAAATTGAAATTGTATTATCGTATTAAAGAATTTGGGAATACATTGTGAAATAACTAGGGGAAAAGCAAAGGATTATTTATATACAATGTTTTTCAATTTATACTAAATAAAAGCTCAATGGTCAATTTCTGAGCTGCCAGATCTAAGCAGTGTGTGACATTGGCACTTTCCTGATTTTTTTATTTTTGGTAATGAAAAACCAGCTTACATGTAAAAAGTACTTTAACTGAAGATGACTTCTAATATATATTATGTAATGCATTGATAAAGATGTTGAATCTGAGTAGACAAGGGAAAAAACACCAATGTATTCAATGTAGTAAAAAAAAAGATTCAAGAAATATATTGAAAAATATGTTTATTTACAAAATATATATACAAGGGATATGGGCATGAGAAATATGGTCCATTTTGAAGTACAAGAGGAATAATTTACAATTGACAATTCTATACAAAATTATTCACTATATTTACAAATATTCATACAAGATAAATGCTACTATCCGTACCTTAGACCATCCTAAGGAAATAACGTAAAACTGCACCAACAATATGCAGAATGACCTTATAGAAATCACAAAGAGAAATGCATAATTAAGTACCTAATTATAATACAAAATTCACTGCAGATATAGTTAATTCTGCCTAGGACTAGACATTTTATTTGACACAAAGTTATTCAAAGGAATTCAATTAAGTTTTAACATATTGCAATAACACAACTCACTTGTCAATCCATGGCTAACTAAATTGTAACAATCACAGTTCAACTGTTTATAATGTTATTTTTTCAGTTTCTTTTTTTTATTTTTTTAATGTATCTGTTTTTCTCTTTTGTTCAGTGCTGTTTTCACTTTTGATATTTCTTCCACTTTTTTTCCATAAGGGTAGATTCCATGATTAAACCTAGATCATTTAAAACAAAACACAAAAATTAAAATCCTATTAATAACTAGCTAAAATTAACTAGCTCCGGAAATTTTCATTACATACATAACCTTGAGCAGACACACTAGCTATGCCAATAAAGTAGGAATGAAGTATTGAATATCAATAGTAATAGAAAAAGCATTGAAGTTATTTGAGGAAATTGTTTTTGAGTCTCAATATACAATTTTTAAGTATATTTCATGTTAAATTGGCTTTTAGCAGTGCATTCTGATTTTCCAAATTACCATGACCTACATATTCCAATGTTGATATTAATATAGAGTTCAAAGTGGAAAACTATTTATAAAAGCTTATTTCCATTCTTTTAAACAGCACATTCATCACCAGAACTGCCACAAAAATGGAGGTATTTATATGGAATAAAAATATTTTCCTTCTTGACTGACTTACAAAAGAGTCCTGCTCTAGGCTTGCATGTAATATCACTAAGACTAGATCTAGTGAAGACAGGCTTTCTTGGCACAGATTAAGATGAAGCAGCAGCATCTGAAATGCTGTGATCAAACAGATCTTCTTAAACTTGATGCAGATACATGAATACATATCCCATTAACAGAAAAGGCAGAGTAAACCCCTTACATATAATTAAACCATAGGTATAGATTTACAAAACATGTATAGTGTATACCATGTTTACTGTAATTACTGCAATGGCACACTTCCTTGTGTTCTAAAGTAAATTTTACCCTATTCATGTTTATCACAGTTTTTAAGAGTAACTACACATGGAAGTATTCCTTTGCCACAATCACTCCTATCATTTCCCAATTATAGTATATTTATTAACTTTTCCCATGTAAAAAAATGCAGTAAATTCAACTTAAATCTACTCAGGTACAAATTCTCAAAGGTAATATATTGCACAATACTGATGTTCACAAATTTTGTACCTTCTGCTTGAAAAATTAATTACAGTAGTTACTTATACAATGTCTCAATGAGAATAACTTTATGTGTTTCACATTTTTAACCCTAACCCCAACAATTTCTAAACAAACTATTTGATTGTTTCTGTGGTTTTAGACCACAACTCTTTCCAAAAGGAATAATAGCAATAGATCAATTCTGAACAAGTAACTTGTGAATGAATGTCCAAAATTGCTAATTTCAGCAAATTACCAAAAACAATAGCAAAAAACTTCATATACTTTTAATGGAAGTTTCACGTTTCCTTCATATAATATTTCCTTAAAAACCTGTAATAATCCTATTCTGACAAATGGCTATCAATGGATAACAGATCATAACACTTGTCACATTTTTTAACACATGAACTTAACATCCTACAATCCACAATAACTAACTATTAGGTAATTATGACATACAAAATATCAAACAACACAGCCTCTGTGCTCTGATGTAAATAAAACTCAAATTACCATTTGAACTGTCTAAAACTAGGTTTTATTGTAGTGCATATTTTTCGAAATTTCTGAATGGTATCAAAGTTTACAATGAAAAGTTGGTTTCTTTTAATGCCAACTAAAATGGTTATTTCAGTCTTTACAAAAATCTGCCCGCATGAGAAAATATCTACAGCTTCCAAGAAGCAAGATTACAAATGGCATTAACAACTGGAACCTTTTTTAATTTTACAATTAAGTTTATACAAAATAATTACTATGCTTTCTTTACGTTGAAATTTATAAAATTCTCTTTTTCATGGAATTGACAACAAAACAAGAATTTTGTCAAGCTATTAAACAAGACATTAAAACGTATCCTAAGAAATTAATCAATTGAAATCATAGCTTTCTGGGCCACGAATTTCACAACTTTTGAGTTCATGAATATTTCAGTCTGAGGACCAATCAAATTTGCTTCAAGCTGTGTGGAAGATGAATATGGCATGAGTAAATGTATTAATTTATTACGTTTGAATCAATCTACAATGAAGAGATTGGTCAAGCTAACTACAGGTAAGAATGATGACTAGCAATTTCTGTGTTCCCCCTCCACCCCCAAATTTAAGAATTTAGGAACATCAAAACAAGTAAAGAAAATAACGTACTTTCTCAATATAAAATTAAACTGTCACTTCACCCACCTTTACTTAAATACAGCAACAGAACACTAGCATCAGTCAAATCAAATGATGACTTACGCATGCCATTACAACAAACTGACTAGTTTACAAACTTAATATGTTATTAGTTGCCAACCAACTGATAGTGCTAAGACACAGTCATTAACTTCATTCAGTGCTTATACAATTCTGAAAGAAATAATTCAAATTACTGAATTCTAAACATAATGATTCAATGACATTACTTAACAGTATCTGTTGGCCCCAGATTACCGAACAATAATGAGCCTTAAAAATGAAAATATATTTAGAAACCAAAAATCTGTCCAAATCTAAATACAGATTAAACCTCTACAAGACAAATACAGCAGAAGTTCAAAGAGACATTCTTCCAAAGAAATTTCTTTAGAAAAAATGGAAAAATAAAAGAATACAAAGTAAAACATACGTGGTACACACTGTAGCACGGATTATGATGCGGATGATTCATCCGAGTACAAGCATATTGTTGATAAAAAAAATATATTTTTTTTCCAATGCACATCACAAATTGTGGTCTGCTCTTTCATACAAAAGAAACAGTCAACAAAAGTAGCGATTTGCATCACACAAATTTGACAGGAAACACAGTAAAAATAAAGCTTTAATGAACTTTTACATTTTTGATTACAAAACATTTTCTTAGGCTTCACATGTACAATATCAGGGAACAAGTTAGCTGGATGTGTTTTGCCAATTTATAAGGAAAAAAAGTCCAGTACAAAAATACATCCCATTGTTGACAATGTTTACATTATGAAGTTAAAATAAAGCCTAAAGCAATGCAACTAATTTTAAGTTCAAGTTTAATACATAATTTCCTGATTGTGTTATTGTACAAACTATTGCACATTGTTTAACCTGCTCCATATACCTACCAAATCAAAACAGCTTTCATTAGACCTGGAAGCTTTTATTATATCTACTTATCACTTACATTCACACAAATTGTTAACAGTTGGTACAAAGGATGCAATACTGGAGTAATGAACTGATGTTCCCAGATATCAGGTGAAAGGACGGGGGTGATTCTGACAGAAAATAGTACTATGTTATATTCAACTTGAAATAAATAAAAATAAAATTTAGAAAAGAAAGCAGCATGCATAGGGTTAGCCATACAATCCTCCCAGGATATCTGGGAACGTTTCATATACTCAGCATGTCACAGGAATGTAGGACGTACAATAAGGTTTACAATAGAACTGATAAAAGGAGCAGGCTAGGCTACATGGTATATTTTTGTACAATAGGTTTGTAATAGGTTCTTATGTTGGATAAGGCATTTTAACAGGTTGGTTTAACTGTATAATCCAGAAATACACAAAGCATTAAAAACAAAATGCCTGCTGTTACACAGCTAGGAAAATAGGAACATAAGGATAATAACAGGAAATAACATTATTTACAGGAATTATTATTAAAACATTTAACAGTAGAAAAACACTGGAGGACAAATATGAAGAAAAATAAATGTCTAAAGCTAATACCACAGGAAAACAAAATAAATAAATAACGTCCAACATAAATTTCACTCCCGAAATAATGAATATTACAGGCAAAAGTCTTGAAATTCTTAAATGGTAACCACACGGAAAAAGCACACATAAGTGTAATCTGAAGTTGCATCTTATCAATTCGAAAGTGCAAGCATGCCACAAGAGTACACCCTATGTACTGATTATTGATTTATTGAACATACATGACATTACTGAGAAAAATAACAACAGACATTTTAAAGAACGTCCAACTCAAATTGTCTTTAACTAGGACAAAGATCTGCTTCAAAATATTGAAACACATGATGACAATGATGCAAGAGCAGTTGATAATGCAGTTAACATCTTCAGTTATTACACACTTGCTCAAATTGAGGGTGATACATTTTAGCAATGCTGCTTAGGACTGCAGCAGTAATTATAAAGTGGCTGAGAGTAACTATTCCACCTACACACCTGCAAATAGCCTGAAATGTAAATCTCGCTACAACTTTCCTTAATAATGGACCTCCAATAATCATCGTGCATTACTGAATACTACAAAGAGTTTAACTTAAACTTCTAAAATCCATTGAAACAATTTGCAACAAGTCTGCACCTAACAAGGTTTGAACACTGCAAGCCCTCTGCCTCTGAACACATAAAAGCTATGACAATACATTCTTATTTTGTTCAAGTACTATTAATGTTTGTAAATGTTATTTAATGTGTTTAGAACATATCTAGAAGTAGTACATGATAAAATAAATATGTGATTCCAAATACTTTAAAACTGTATTTAAAAAAAAAAAAAAAAAATTACCCGTTTACTTAAGGCATTTAGATGAAAGGGTATAACACAGACTTTCCTTCCCAAATAAAACACTATTACTTGCATTGGGAGGGCTTGCAGTAACAATTTTTGGAGCAGCTGTTTAAATGGCTTAATAACTGAAAAGAATTCTAGTAATTATTGCACAGCCCCAAAACATGAACGCACATGCAAGGGAACAGGTGAATTCATTATGCGTATCAGGTACTGAAAGCGTACATTTATTGTACGAGGGGAATTATTTGACAACATTCAGAGAAGGGGGAAATCATAAGAAAAGTTCTTTAAACAGGGTGGCCTTCCAGACAAAAACTTCATAAGTGAACAGATCAATGATTCACCACTATTATTCCCTTGAATACAAATCTCGCACTCAGAGTTGCATCTTCGTAAATGCTTTTCCCTGGTCGCTATCACACTGCAGATTAACTTCCATGTGTGGTTGAGCTGAGCCCTAACGCTGCTCCAGGTGCCCACCAGCCCACGAACGGGCGACAGAAAGGTCGGGAGAGAGCAAAGCAGACTGTGCCTCATGCTGCCTAATGTGAGAGAAAGACTGGAGCCGCACATTACCTTTTCTCCGGCGGGCGAGGCCAACAACACATTGCGCTTGAGTTTCACCTTTCGGCTGCTTCTTCTTCGGCCCCCGGAAGGGCGCTCCCGCTCCTCAGGAAAGCTACTCCCACCTCCAGGCAGCCCCAGTCTCATGCGAATGGGCACCTTACCTCCAGACACAGGGGATCCTCCTCGTTTGTGCTTCTCCTCTACAAAAAACAAGAACACAACAAAAACAATAAAACATTATAATAATAACAAACACTTGCAATCTCCGAAAAGGTCAATGCAAAAGGAAACCTTGATTTGATTGCACAAAAGATAAAAAACATATTCACAAGATCAAAAAGTAAAGCTGTCAATAAAATATCAAACTTGAAATATGGATTTCGTATCTAACATGGTAACTATTGGACATGGGAGAACTTGTTAAGAAGCTGGAGTACTGTACTTTTGGCCAACAACCTCTTCATATGACATTCATTTTCTGTAATAACAGCAAAACTCAAAGAGCTTAATTTGAAGGAGACATTTTAATTTTCCATTTCCCACAAGAAATCCCACAGTGCACCATATTTAATATAAATATTACATATTATTATTTATATTACATACATAAATATCTACATATTTAAATTCAATTCTAAAATTAATTTAATAATTGTAAGGAGTACATAAGTAAGAGTAACTAGACATGCCACCTACGACTCTTAACAAGCAAAGACTGTAGGTTTTGAAAAACCTTTTTATATACAAAAAAGAAGGCTTTAATATATTGATGTACAAGATTTACCTATTTCAATATATTTCTATCACGAAATGTATTATTTACAAGTGATCAATATCAAAGTGAATGGCAGTAGTACTAACCACATCCATGAATTTTGTCATGAAAGAGATAGAGAATTGGAGCTGAGGGATTTTTTCCATTTAATTTCATAAACAACTAATGACATACCATGTTTAGATTTAATTTTGTGTATTAATTAAATTTACTGTAAAAATAAAAGTGTTAAAACATCAAACCAACTCGCAAATTTGCCATTCTACCAGAATGAGAAGCTCAAAAAACCCAATTTTTTTTCTACTAATTTATTTCTGCCAAATTTTGATTGTTGTAGTAAGTGATCAATATTACAGAAAACTACATCGTCAGTTTCAGCTTTCAACTGAAGATTTGGGAAATTTTTCCCAATTTAATCATAATTAAGCATTCACTAGCCAATACATTGTATCAGAATTTAGAATATTATGTACAGGGCACAAAAATGTAAAGCTAAAAACAACCAGTCTATGCCTTCTGAACACTTACAGTTACATGTGTCTTTCATATTGATGGAAAAAAAAAAAAACAACTAAGAATTTCACTATATACTTTTATTTTAAAATGTTACTCTTTCCAAAGCGTGTTTCTTACGTATAAAATTACAAACATGATTACAGCCAATATGCACAATGGAAATATTCTAGAACCCATATGGATACATTATTTTATGTATGAAAATGCATTTCTTTCAATGTGCAAGTCGCAAGAGAAATAATTAAGAGCTATTTTACTCAGTTACACAAATTGTATAGCGACAAGTTATTTATATTCTTGATACAGATTATGACTGAGAAACATTCTTAAATGAAGAAATGTGGTAACTCCACAATAATACAAGTTCTTACAAGGTAAAGATTATTGATAACAGCAAAAAAATTCCTGAGAGACTACAAAAATCGTTATCTCTGTAAAAAAAGCCTGTTATCAGAGAAGTTAAAACTGACGTGATCACAAGAGTAATTCTTGTAAGATCTGACAACAAAACGTTTCAAATCTAAATCATGAAGATAGATTTACAGCAAACTTTTCAAGTATACATCCAATATTTCTAAAACGAATTCAATAATAACATTACTGTAGAATTTCAAAATATATGTATTAACCCTAACGCAAGAGGACTGGTGAATTCTATTCACAAGACTGGCATTTTGCTTTCTCGTTCTGTTGCACCACACCTTTTCGTCATCGTCTGCTCATGTCCTTTTTGTCGACATCCTGTAAGTCATTTTGATAACATTCGAAGATACAGAGTTCAGTTTTTCATCTTTATATTCAGAAAGACTGTACTTGGTGAATAGAATTCACCACGCGTCTGGTATGCAAGTAAAATCATTAGGTAGGACTAGTTTTTGTTCTTGTATATATTTACACATTGAGGGTGAATTAAAGATAGTTTTAAAAAATTTTCAGTTTGAGGTCAGATAAACGGGCAGAGGGGAAGAAAATTAGCTAAAAAGAGTATGTTGCATACACTGAATGAATGAAAGTGATGGGGATGAAGTGTAATGTATGATCTAACTTTGTATGTAAGTAACATTCATATAATAGAATCATGTAAAGAATGAAAATGACGATGTAATCTATTACGAAGAAGATGATTAGTGACTTGTCAAAATCATTTTATGTAATGTCTCACATCATGATTGTTTTGTGCACATTGTATTCCCACTGTATTACATTTTGTAAATTACTCATAAGTAATGATTTTAATTGTGGGTTTCTTTTAGATGTGATCCATACTGGTTACTAGAGAAAAGGACATTTTAAGATTATTCTACTTAATAATCAACCTAAAAGGGTGGTGAATGGAATTCACTGTTCATCTGGTATCATAAGGGAAATAGGAGTACATGTTCTCGGGTTAATTTTATTTACAAATATCAGATATTTTCATGCAGATGAAATAAAACACTTTACCGATGCATTTCTCTGTATCCTATGAAGTACTTAACTTTTTCTCATTTATTAGTCAGACAATCTTTTTGTTTTCTGTTCACAAAATGCTACTTTTTGATTCAAAAATATTATGAAATTTATAAACATAAATATTATTAAATTATACTGTAGCTAAAACTTTCCATTCCCAATGAAATATTGCAAAAGACAATATTATTACATTCATTGGAATCCTCCAGGGGCATAGACTTTGGTCATATAACTTGGTATGATTGGAACCACCTACCACCAAAGTACCAAAAGCATGCTCAATTAAGAAAAATTGGAACAGAAAACAAGGACTGGTTGAAATTGAAAAAGGAAGACTGGTAAAAAAACAATTGTGAACACTTTCTATGAGTTTACACATAGTTGATTAAAAAATCATGAATTTTCAATGGAAGAAGCAGAAAAAAACACTAAAAACCTTTGTAGAAATGAAACCTTTTGATGAAGTTTTATACTCCACCCCCCTTTTCTGGGCCTATTTTGATGCCAATTATTTTTTAGACGTTTACTACCATTTTCAATGCATTATAAAATATTCTTATCTCCTTCTCTTGGTTAAAAATAAATGTTTAAATCATTTTGAGGTTTAATACTCCCAATAATTGTCTACCAGTAACAGGCTTCCATGTCCGTCGTCTCAATAAGTCATGTGGGTATACATGTTGTCATGTTCTGTCTTACGAGCCACAAAACTTGCTTTTTTCGCATTTCTTCAAACAATTAAGAAACACCCTAACAAAACCTATCAAAGAAAATAAAGCAGGTGGTCTTGGGCGAGTGCTCAGCTCAGATTCAGGATGCAATGCGGTGTGATTGAAGGCAAGTCCGTAACCCGTTTTCCGCCATTGTTAGTCTCTAGTAACAGATGATCTTTCAGGAAAATAAGGATGACATTTAATTCAAATCAGTGCCATTAAGACCCTTTCATATTTGGTGTCACATAAATAATACAGAGCGAGCAGCCAAGGTACCATATCAGAATATCAGTGGTCACAGTATAATGTTACATGTTACCCTATATTTCACCCTGCCCCCTGCTTTTCATTTTTCTAAAAATGTTTTTTTTTTAATGGAGCAAATAACGAAAATTCATATTAAGGGGCTGATCTGTGGTGGGGAAGACGGAGCGGTCTGTTAACAGGGCTTACATACAATATATGGGTTCCGGGGTGGTTATCAAGAGAAATTGGTGATCTTTCAAAGTCTTCATTGAATGTTCATACTTTTAATTAGTTTGTAAATCAAGTTTTAATATATGTAACAATTACTAATATTTTAGGAAATTTTCAATCACCTTTAGAGAGATTGACGTTTCTTAGAAATGTTGTTTTTGCTACAATTAAAGATTGCTTATTTTCTACACCAGAATAAACATGAAAGACCTCTCCATTTAAACAATTCAGTTTAAATGTTTTCTATCATAGCTCATTCTTAACTATGCATTAAGAGTCCACTCAAAACATTAGCACCCTGTTATTACTTAAATTGATTTCACATAGACAAGTTACATTTTTCCCAATACTGATTTATGTCACAAAGGTTAACAGTACAATTTTTGGGATCATATTGATTCTTCCATAGTCAAATTTGTCTATTTCAATTTTAGTATATCATTTTGAAATAGCATGCACACATCCACACATTTTATAACTAAAATTTTTGCCATGTGTTTTGTAGGAAAATTGTCTCAAGATGATGATGTGCTAGTGATGAAATGCTTTCGCTGTACACAATTATATCATTGTATCTAATGGCTCAAGGGTTCAAGTTACTAAAAAACTAATGTATTCAGAAATTCAACTTCAACTTAATCATGAGCAAGTTGGGCATGGTTTGAAGTGTTTTATGTCATTCAGCAAGGGGTGGGATTCCTGGGCTAGAAATTCACTTTGTGCAATCGATTGATTAGTTAGTCAAAATAATTTGAAAAACTAGGCGAGACAAAATATTTTTAAAAAGTAAAGCTAGATAAAATTTTGAAAACTGTTAAGAAATTGTCAATTTCAGATAATTCTGTACAATTAGGAGAGCCAAAATCACTAGAAAAAGGGGATAGGACTGCCTTAGACTTCTTACCAAGCCAAAGAGGCTTATGAAATCATCCACAGAATCTGTGTGGCATCTTTGGGCAAACTGAGGAGCTGAAGTGACGAGTGACTCCATTGAGATGTGAATCGCATTGACTCATTCAAAGCGTAAGGAGATACTCATTTTCCCCCATGTATTATTTTCAGTGCCAAATGAAAAATGCTCTCATGTAAGAAAAGACTATAGTAGTGTAGAAATGCTACTACCCACCCTAATTTTTTCCACAAATTTTCTAAGTATCTATCTTACAAATTCTATTTCAAACATACTATATACTGAACTGACATAGTAAACTAAATTGCAAAAAACTCCAATTTTTGGAATAGTAGTAGTAGGAATGCTCCTGAAACTTTCATGACTCAAAAACATTTTATTTCAAAAAGTAATAAAAATCACAATGGCTTTCCGAACCACAAAATCTTCATATACATACAATTTTCAAGTACATAGTAATATACAGAAAAATCTCTTTTAGAACTTTCCTGGTCACATTCTCACGATAAAAGTATTCTTCGAAATGCAGTACACTGAAAGAACATTTGTGTCCAATGCTCAAATTCTGCTAGTTGCAAAACATTTCATTAATATAAAATATTTCTTATATCTTATCTACACATTACTGAGGATAATTAATACTGAACATGTCAATAAGCAGATGTTCATGTTGTAATTATCAACATTTGAATGTTTAATAGATTTCCAAAGTGTCAAAAAAGAATGCTAGTTATACATAATCTGTCGTATCTTTCATTGTATTCATTTTAAATAAAACAATGCACAAGAGACTGGTTGCAGTAAAATATTTGGACGGCGAACAATATTTTGTTATTATATTGTATATTAACTATCTTATTGTAGCAGTCATTTTCCGAACATGAATGTGATTGGTCAAGCACAACACATCTATGCAAGACATCATGGTATTGGTTGGTTAGGGATGCAGAGTCTGCAAACAACCAATGATTGTTACAATTTCGTATCTTAATCACACCATTTGATTTCCAATAACATGAATCAAATATACATTTCTCAAAGAACCTCAAGTCCAGAAGCCCTTGCCCTAATACAAAATACAATTTGAAAATTTAGATTAAAAATTTGCTGAAAAAACAAGAACTATCTTCTGTAATTACTGCATAAAATTATTTCATCTTTCTATCATCTAATAATCAGCTTTTCCACTTGAAAATTCTTGTTGAAGTTATGTAGATGCTGAAATGGTCATATTGTTATGGTGTTCTAAACAACTGAATTCATTATAACAAAATATAATTCATATGCTAAATTTCTGATTTTCTCACAATTTTGTTACAGGAACTTAATTTTTTTCCTCTTGCTTTCTATCTCAATTATATTTAATCTATTCTACTTTGCAATTTCTAGTCACAAAATTTGTTCTTGTGTGTGTCAACATAAAATTTTAAGACCAAAGTCACCTTTCTGAGGATGTTATTGAATAATTTTTATACCGTCACAAACATTTTGAACAACCTTCTGGCAATGATAAGTACAATCTCATATAATCCCACTAAAGCAGCAGTTGACAGATTTGATTAGTTCTGGGTTTCTGAATTACTTCTTATATTTGCTTCCAATTTTTTAATTTTTTATTTTTATTTCCTTGGAACACTTTGCAATCCTGATGTCGACTCACTGAAAGAGTGTATCTCTCTTGGATGAATGAGGTATTTAATAATTCTTGAAGGAAAAAAAAATTAACAAATTTACTTCTTGATACCTATAATCCTGAGTTTTGCACAATTATACAAAACAGTATGAAGAAATAAAAGATTAACAATATTTTCTTTCTTTTTCTAACAAAAACAATTATTTTCATGATATGAACTAATCATTAAAATATTTTTATAAGAGAATAGAAAATTGTTGAACATTTTGAACTCTACTGAAAATGTGCACAATTTCCAGCTGATAGAGAAAGAGCAAGTACAAAGGAAGACAGTGGAATTACTTCTGAAGAAAGTACTACTTAATAGCAGCATTCTCTCAATATTTTGGCATCAGCTTTGATAAGTAATAATTTTACATGTCAATGTTAATTCCACCTTGCTAATCATTTACTATTGTATTTATATAGTGAAGTGCATTTTCTGCACTTCACTATATAAAGACAATAGTAAATGATCAGCCAGCATAGAGCATCACCTTTCATGCTCCAAGGTTTTTTATTTATACAAAAAATTGAAATATAATGTATGTAGTGTTTTTCTATACTATACAAAATTAATAAATTTATGAATTACGAAACTTTATAAAGGTGTAAAAATAATTTTTGACCAAAGGTGTTTATGTGTTGATAAACCGTTTTCTCCCCTGCTTTGACACAGCCTTTTCTCATTGTTAATAAGCTTAATTTCCTTAGCATATCATAATAGTTCGGTAACAGTTTTAGGCATTTCTTATTCAGAACTTGAAATATTCAAAATTAAAAACCCGGCACAATCACCAATTAAAAACAATGAATTGAACTTAAAGTTACTACATCTTTATATATTTATAACTGAAAAATTATAGTCTTCTGCCAGAAAATGATCAGTTCTCTTTATCTTGGAAAGCAATTACTTGCATTTTCTTTGAAAGTGAAACATTTTAAGTCTAGGCTTGATAATTACATCATGAACACTTGATATTAAAAATTTGTTTCTAGTACATCCAAAGGAGAAAAAAGGATAGCTCTACCTGGAACTCACCTTTAGGAATTGTAACACTTATAGAAGGAATTTGCTGTTCAACAGCAGAAGATTTGAGTACCAATACACGTCGTCCATCTCCAGCTTCTGTTCCTGAAAAATTGTATCGTTTACTTACACTCGCTTCACAAAAGCAAAGGGAAATAGTAACATTTTCATTTTATCATACCTTTCTGAGAATCAGGTCTCTTGGATGATCCATGTCTTTCTCTATCCAGCCTTCGAAAATTTTTCCTACAATTAAAAAATATTATATGAGTTAAATTAAACACACACACACATCTTCACAGATCAAATGAAAATTTTCGGGTCAAACAGCAAAACCTACTTTCCAACTGCATCTTTAAATGCTGATTGTACTAAGCGAGCAGGTAATGTTTCATGAACCGATCCAGCCTGAAACAACCAGATCAATAAGTAAGTTTACCTACAATACAATTATTAATTTAAATCCTCATATTAAGTGATTAATAGCTTACCATCGTGAGCCTTTCTGCTCTACGCCGACTTAATTCAGCTCTCAGGTCCCCATCTTTGCTTCCATCTCCAGTTTCTTCTAAGTCGTCAAGGTTATCTGCAGCTGCCACACGAATTTTTGATCTCTTCTGATCTAGTTCGAGAGCATCAGATGGAGGACAAATCTGGGCTTCCAAGGTGTCCTCTTTCAAACTCAGTTGCTCCTGCCCACGACTACTTCTGGAACTTTTACGTGAAACTGTAACCAGAAGCAAAATGATGGACAAGTTAGAGATAATGAGAAAATTATATATTTTATTTAAAAAATTGAAGTTAATAAAAAGAAGGGTGGTGGAAGATCCATAAAAAACAACCAAGTTGCATACAGATAAATGAAATCATAGCTTACCATCTCGCACAGATGTATGAAGTGAATGTTCTTGTTCATCACCAGAAACAGGTCTTGATTTTCCTTTCTCTGGTTTCTCTTTTGTTCCAGAATCCAAACCTTGAAGTTTTGCCAGGGGTACTACACGAATCTAGAAAACAGTAAGGTGGTTTTATTAATAAATAAATATTTTTCATTTTATCCAGTTTCATTTTTAAATTCTGAGCAATTTGAACTATTGAATTGGAAAAAATAAAAACCTTCGATGTCCAGGACCTTCAACTTTTGAATAGCAAACAAAGAGGTTTTAAGCTCCAGACATTGATCATTATTGCTTTCAACTAAAAGTTGAAGGACCCCTACAGACATCGAAGAGGCCTCAGAGAAAGAACAATTATAGATGGAAAGAACTTCCCCTCAGTACATTCAAACCCCCCAAAAATGTGACACCATTCCTTTTTGTTTGCTCAAATTTAATGGAAGGACAAAATACTTTTCAATATCATTACAAAACTTGAATATGGATAATCATATGGATAGAAAGAGAGAGAGAGAAAAAAAGGGTTTTTGAAATCTAAAAAAACAGGTATGAATTCTTTTGAAGATATTATTGCTTCATGATCACCATTTATTCAAAGAAGTGGAGCAAGGAAGATCTGATACGAAAAAAAGGGGTGAAGAGGCAGGAAGAAACAAAACAAAGTTTGGATATACTCACTCGGGGAATTTCAGTAGGTGCAGCAACTTTCTCAGTAGACTTGAATCTTGCCTCGTTGTCAGAGTTGCTTTCATCATCCGACCAGAGCTGCATGGCATTCTCCAACTCCAGGTCCAGGATTTCCTCGAGATCATCCGTCGCCATCAACAGCGGCTCGGCCGCGGCAGCAGGTTGGGATGGCGCCCTGTTCCTGTCTTCCTCTTCGAGGCGGCCGCAGCCAGGCTCCGCGAGCGGAGGCTTCTTCAAGCGGATCCTCTTGTTGGAGGACTCAATGGGCACCGACGACTCGAACTTCCTCCGACGCGCCTCCAGCACGGAGTTGGCGGCCTCCCACGCCGCCGAGAAGTTGCTGGAGTCGGTGGAGGCGGTGGCGGTGGCGGAGGTCGGGGGCTCCGCCCGGTCGCGGGCCCGGCGCCGCAGCCCGCCCCGCCCGCCGCGTCCTCTACGCCGCGCACGCTGGGCGCGCCTTCTTGCTGCGGCTCCGGTGTCTTTGTCGCGCACGGCTTCGCTTCGCGCGGACTTCGTCGAGGGCCTGACGCGACGACGCCGCCGCGCGGGGCCATCTGGGCGCGGCCCGCCGCGCCACCGCCTCCGCTTACATCGCCCCTCCCCCTCCTGCAAACGAAGTTCCGCCGGGTGGCGCTTGCGCAACGCGCAGTGGCTCGCAGGGGCGACTTGACGCCGTTGTGCGCGCCCTCGCCCGCGCGGTCGGCGACCGGGACTCAAGCTCAGTGCTGGACGTAGCAGCTCGCGAGTTCTCTGTCGGAGGGGGACGGGGCGCTGCCAGACTGGCGCCGGCGAGGGCGGCGGCGAGGCACCGCCCCCAGCCAGCGGCTGGCAGTCGCCGCGGGCGGAGCTGAGACCACGAGCGCGATGTGTGTGTTGAGGCGCGACTCTTGCAGGGGCCGGCGGCCCGGAGCGGCGAGCGCGCGCGATTACAGCCCCTTGTCGGCGTCGTCGGCGCGGCGCCGGGGGCCGCGCTGCGAGTCGGACCGCCGAAAACGGACCGGCGGCTGTACCTCCGGCGCGTAGGTGGACGACTTAGTCAGGGCGTAGGCGGCGGGTTTATCGTCGGGCGGACCGGCGAGCGGTAGGCCGCGCAGGCACCGGCGATCCAGGGCGGACGCCTTGCGGCCGGGCAGGCGCCCGCAGGGCTGAGCAGCGTGGGCCGCATGTAAAGCGCGCGCGCTCGGCGGGGCCGATGGCTGCGCAGTCGCGAAACCCCGGCACGCGTGTCGAGCGGGCGCGCTGCACGGCGACGGTGCGGCGGGGATAGGCCATGACGCGTTACGCGCGCGGCGCGCCGAAAGCTACGACAGGCTCACGCGGCGGCACCGGTTGGGCGGTTCGACTGTGCGAGGACGCGCAGGGCGGACGGCATGAGCGCTGGTTGCGGCAAGGTTACCGGCCCGCGCGGCGGACACGCCGCCCTGCTCGGCGACACCGACATGGACGGCGAGACACTGTGCAGGAGATGGCACTGGCGGCGCGGGGAGGCCCACGCGCAGGACCGGCCGGTGACGCCGGGCGGGGGCGGGGAGAGGCTGTTGCTCCGCGCGCAGCGGAGAGCCTCGCGCGCGGCCGCCCCGGGGAGTACTTGCGGCCGCGGGGCGGCGAAGCGCCGTGCGAGAGCGCGCGGCTGGCGCGAGCGCGCCCGGCTTGGAGCCGGCGGCGCACGCGGCTGCGGTTGTATGGCGACCGGGGTGACTGGGAGCGGGAGCGGGGCGGGGCGATTGAGATCGAGCGCAGAGCGGGAGCAGGGACGCGCGACGCACCGGGTGGAGAAGTGCGGTCTGTGTGCGCGCGCGGAGCGGCGGGAGACGGAGAGCAGCGAGCGCGGCGCGCGAGGTGGCCGGCTAGAGCCGCGGATAGCGGGAGCTGTTCAGGGGCGACGGGGCGAGGCGCGGGGCTGTGGGCGGGAGATCGGGGTGCAGGGCGGTGAGAGGCGGCTCGTGAGTGCCGCCTGGCCGGCGGGCGGGCTGACTGCGGGACGGCCCAGGCGCTCGGTGGGTGCAGGGGGCGGGCGAAGGCGCGCGGCCGCCCGCGGAGGTGCAGAGGTGTGGTGCAGTGGTTTTCGGGCGCAATTGCTTGGCCTGCCTGGGTCCTCCACCGCACCGCGCCCGCAGCCGCGCGGGTCTTCTGGAGCCTTCTCCTTGTGCGCGCCGCTGGCGGCGCGCTTGGGCCCCGCCTGGGCCGGAGCCGCGACCGAGTCGGTCGCGAGGGTGGGGGTGGGGGCAGGCGCGGCCGCCTCCTTCCGCGCTTTCGCCTTCGAGGTGATGGTGACCCGCGGTCGGAGGACGTCCGTCGCCATCTCTTCCTCCATCTCGTTCATCAGCTTCTCGAGACTGTCGTCCTCGTCCTCATCCTTGACGAGCAACACGTCGGGGTCGGGCTCCGCGTCGCTGGCGCCCGCCACCGCCACCGCAGCCTCCGCCTCCGTCTTGATCGCCTTCTCTCCAGCTCCCACGTTCTCTTCCGCCTCCTCCTCCTCCTCTTCGGCGCTCTCTTCTGCCGACGACTCGGAGCTCGAGTGCTCGAATCTGTCAAACTTGGTCGATACTGGAAAGAAGAAAAATCTCTCATCACCTTGCGCCAAAACTCGGTTATTTATTTATTATTTGTGATTCACGTCAACATTTCGGCACTCTACTCGTGCTTCTAGATTACGTACACCTAGCACGTAGCAATCTACATAATTATGTTTAACTAGTCTTCTAACTTAAGTCTTCTTTCCGTGATAAGGCAAGTAAGCCTAACAATTCAACCTAACTTGATAAATCTAACATTTCACTTATTTTCATGAAAATGTGTTCATAATATTCATCTTAAGCACTCAAAAGGCACATTATTTTGCCAACTAAATTAGCTGTAAAAATGCATGTTCATAAAATGTAATAAGTTGGATTACACATATAACATTTTAATTAAGTTCCTCAACAGAATAATGTAACAAGAGAAACGGCAAACACACGGAATATTGAAAAATATTCAAATAGAAATAACCGATGAAGTAGAATATCTATTGCAGTGTACAAATGCAAATAGAATTACTATAGTTATCTATTGGTCATAGGCCACTACTTATTTCATAGAGGGGAATGTTAAGAAAATGACACTCACTATTTTGAACTAAAGAAAATTTTTAAAAAAGTGTCTTCGACTTGATTAATTTATTACACAAAGTGAAGATCTTAATTGTCCTATAACATTGAATTGAAGTGCACATTTCTTAATAAGAAGTGTGCATTCAAAACAGAGTTCAGCTACTTATTTTATTGTATTATTATTATTATTATTATTATTATTATTATTATTATTATTATTATTATTATTATTTTACAATTAAGTTCTCGTCCAGATCGACAGGTTTGTTTGATTAATCCTTTGAACATGGAGAAACAGAAGTCAACAAACTTCTTCAGTTATAGGAAACACGAAGAAACAAGGGGAACTAAGGACAGAGAAAACACCTGAAACACAAAAGTACTTATTTAACCCGTCAGAAATCCATTTTCGAGACGTAAAATCATGTACTTGCCACTACACCAATGAATCAAGAAGCGTTTTATTTACTTTTAACGTAACCGAACGAAATGGTAGAGCCAAAGGGTGCCAAAACCATCAGAAGCATGTTCTGCAACGCCCTTTCCACGAATCGCAAGTAATTCTGCTAATCGACGCCCGAAAATCTAAATTACGAGAGATGATCATACTTCCCAGACAGTAATAATCCACTACGATCCGCCAATGCACTGTGATCGTGGTTACCTTTCTCAAAACGTCAGGACCATAGCGGGCGTTTTAACAATCATAACTCGATGCTATTTCTCCCGTGCAACAGCTGGGAGGAGGAAAATATAGAACATACAATCGCCCGAAGCATTCAGATGTCATCCCAATTCTTTCTGGACCGTCATTTCCATAAACTCAATTGTGAAAGCCAAACCATGTGGTAAGCCATTTTGTTTTAAAATAAATGAATATCACAAATTACGCACAGGGAAAAGAATTGTGTAGTTTCTTCCTTGCGTGTCAACAAAACCAAAGCATTACCACGCATAAGGAACTGCGCAGAATTTAATGTAAATGTGTCAATTACGACATTAATCAGGCATACATATTTATAGATTAAGTGTGATAAACCGAGCCACAAAGAAGCAAAAACTTAATAATTTATTTCAAATGTACACCCCCCCCCCATTTGGTAAAATCGAAAAAAATATATTTATTGTCGATAAAACCAATAGCATGATCCTTTAAACAATGCAGAATTCCATAATGCAAATCACAGCAGTCGAATTTTTTTTTTTTTTACTTACCTGCTGTAATTCCTGAGCGCAAACGCGAATCTAAGATCGTAATCTTTCCCCCGCCCCCTCTTTTCTGTCAGTGAAGTGCTTAGAATGCACGCTCGTTTGTCTCCTAAAAATGCAACACTGAGAATTTAATTAAAAGGGAATTCGCAACGAAGACGAAACGGTTTGATCTTTGTTTGATTATATTTATCAAGGCTTTACAGCAATATATCATATGAATGTGTGTTCAACAAGGTACTACTATCTCTGTACTCTAATCACATAGCGTTCCAAAACTATCACATAATTCAGTACATACTATCATATCAAGTATTTAGATATAATACACTATATGGCTGAAAGTTTTTTTAATCGAAAAAAAAAACAAACTAAACAAATAGCCTCTCTACATATATAATACCTAGGGATCGGATTTTAATTAAATGTCATTATTTTTCTTTTCACTTTAGAATAATGCCTTGTAATTCAGATATTCATTTAATGTTAACACAAAAGGAAAAAAACCATTGTTATGAGACGATTTTTTGCACTAATAAGTCGTTTTTACCTTTTTTCGTCAAAGTATTTTTCGCGGATTTCATTGGTTTTAATTATTTAATGGTACTTGCTTAAAAAAATATTTTACAAGATGCAACAAATGTTCATCAAATTCCTCAGTATCCCATTCGACACCTTAGCTCAGAAATTGTGATGTCAACTGATGTGTGAATGTATCTTGCTGTGTCTGTGGCAAAAGCAAAACTGGTTTGTGGCTCAACGTATTCTTTTCCAATTTTTGTAATATAATTTTTTATTGATTTTTAATTATTATTCCTTTTTTAATGTACCAATTGCAATTTGATGTGTTTTTCTCTATATATTTGTATTTGATATTTTGTAATTCCATTTGCTATTGATTTGTGATCATTATAATTTTAAATTTATCTATTATTTATACTAATCCCTCACTTTGTCTTCTTTTGTTATTTGTTATATTGTATTTTATTTTGTTTATATTTGAAGACAGAGTATGACTGCAAAGCCATTAAAAGCTGGGTCTCTAAATAAATATTAATGACTTCTATTATTTTGTGTAATTCCGTTAACAATACTACATAAGAATTCTCAAAATATCCAAGCGCTTGAGTTGTTCATCAGAGCTAGTTTTGAGCAAATTTTTTACATCAATCATCTTTGCTTTTAGGTTACTTTGTAAAGCATTTTATTGATAATTTTTGGCAATATTTTAGGTCATCAAAATCTGCCCCCTAATAATATCTTAGATGAACTTCCTTTGTAGGGAATAAAGTTAACAGGTTACTTACACTTCTGATTAATTAATTGCAAGTTTTTGCAGGACCTTTATTCATATGGTCATCTGTTAGTCTGTATTCAGCACAATGCCAAACATAAAAGCTCTAAAAGTACTGTTTTATTTTGCTTCTTTCTGGCAAGAGACATGTTGCAACAGGTGCCTTTGTCATTAAACCTCGAACTTATGGCTCCTGTTAACTTCTCTAAATAACATAAATCAGGTCACAGACGACTACAACAATACCATAACTCAAGTAAAGTGATTTCGCAGAGGCTACACTGGTTTCTAAACAGTTACCTCTACTTGCAGAGTTTAAAGAAAAGAAACAAACTTCCGACTGAAATTCAAAATATTAACATTTTTGAGAAGAGAGGCATTAATTACTTTGTACAAGTAATGAGTGATTTCATTGACAGTACCTAGAATTGTTTTCAAAAAACCTAACTATAATCTCAAAATGCATAAAAATATTGCTTAATGGAAAAAGTGCATGGAATTGATATTGAGATTAATTCTAAACCAGATTCAAACTAAACCAAAAATAAAAACATGCAAGTCTTATTGCAATTCTCTGAAAAAGTTGGGTTATGACCAAAAAAGTTAAACTGATGAAGAAAAAAGACTTCCTTAACTCTTACAGTGCATAAAATGTCTAAAAGTTGGTATGTGGTGGCACCATGACACAATAACAAGATTCCTAAAAAATCATCTCAAAGTTTTTTTTATTAATAAACATTATGAACTGAAAACAAAAAAACTAAGTAAAGAAATTCTGTTCATTATCAGATATGACAACTATGATTCATAGCACATGATAACAATAAAGCATGGGAAGAACTAGAGCATTTAAAAGAATAATAAGTAATACTTTCAAAACATAATAATACTTCTTAAAGATTAAACCAACCACTGAACTTTACACTGAAGTGTAACAATTACAGTGAATAATTAGAAAAGGAAAATGAAGAAATTTCACTAAAAAATAATAATTAAGAATTATATTCTTGATAATTTAATATTCAAGTTGAAAACATTAGTGATAATTCGATAATGACCATTAGATAATTGGTATTTAGGCAGATTTCCCTTTTTACTCCTTTGGTGCAGACACTCAAAATAAATATGAACACATTTTATGAGAATACTAATGAACCTCATTTATGTTGCCTAAAGTGCTTATTCAGCAGTACAGCCTCAAAATGCTTCTTTGTATGTTATGGTCTCAATTTCATTGGGTGGTATTTTTGGTTATTCATAAGCTTGTTTGGTAGTTCAATGTTCTCCAGACAAGATATTCTGTTATTTATGTGCATTAAAGATTGCAAGCAGTACAGCAGCTCCATTCAAAGAGACCATTACAAATTTCAATTAGGTTTTCATTGCAGAAATACTCTCCAATATTCTAGAAATTATGCTCTCTCAATCCAAGATTCAATGTTCCTATGTCCATGACCTATGGTCATCCTCTCTAACAGTTGTACGACTTCACTAAACCCCTGTACTAATTTACATGCTGTTGTCCTCTTGATCTGCAAATGCCTTATTGAGAGGTATTTAAACTACAAGACCGAGAAAAATTCCTTCAGTGGTCAATGAACTTTAAGACTATGACTGCAGAGAAAATCATTGTAGGAGTCAAATGTTGAAAAGGAACTTTCTTTTGAAGGAGTCATCTTATATGTTTGGCTGGAAGTGTAAGTAACCCTGAAAGGTTGCGGGAGTTAAAAATATGAGAAAGAGTGTACTTGGCACGACAGCCCATGAATGGGCTCAGGCGTCCCGGCGACGTCCCTGCCTTGCAGACCTGGGATAAAGGGGTACGTGTGGTTAGCACGTAGACATCCCCATGCCGTATTATGGTCTTCTCAACCTGAGAAGTGAATTTTCTCATCGTCACACAGCAACATACACTGGGACTTTGCAAGGAAAATGCACATTATAGTCTCGGCTCACGCTGACCAAGAGCTAGCCATGAGCCACAAAAGTATGAGTACTTGAATATAATTGAAACTGCAGAACACTTACTGTTCCTGTGCAAAAATCCTGACAAACTGAAACTTGCGAATTTAGAAAGTAATAAATAAAAATTCCAGATTACAGTGGCAGTGCTCTGTATCAAGAGACAATATTAATGCACGATTAATATTAATTAAGCCCCAGGCACAAATGTTGGAACAGAAAGTCATTTTCAGCATAAAAATGTGATTATGATTTAAAAAATGAATGTTTCAATGAGTCTCTTCATAGTTGCTTTAGTGTTCACATTTTTAACTGTAATCCTTCTAATAATTCATACATATTTTCAATAACACAAGTTTAATGAAAATATAATGTATAAAAAAAATTCATGTCAATTTATACTGCATATCTATGAAATTAAGCAAACTAATTTCACCTTTAAAGATGCGTTACAAGCTTTTCCATTACAACACTAATTTTGTGAGAGGTGGCAAGATTGTAGTCAATTTATTAGCATTGCATCAACATCAAAGTAAGGCTTAGAGATAGTTGTTATAAACTTTTCCGGTACTGCTCTCTTAGTTACACAGCAATATAAATATTCAATGCTAAAACAATATTTTCAAAAGAACTGCCTTCAAATAAACTCCACTGATAGCAAATGCTGCAGACAGTTTTGACTCAGGAAAGCTCCTATCTAAATTGATACCAATAGGTCTTTGAAGTTGGAAACCCTCAAATAGCACCTTGAGAAACTTGAAGACTGAGAGGAATTGAAATCTTTTAAACAAATAGAGTATAGTAGTACATACAAGATTTTATTGTTAGGATAGTTTTCACTGAAATGATGAACCATTATTTGTGACATTGAGGCACACATGAACATTTTTCAAAAAGTAACTTATAGTATTTTAAGGAGTGCAAAAAGGAAATACTGTACTCACAACTTGTTCGGGAAGGAATTGTATATATGTTACATAAAAATAACAAAATGTTTTTGAAACAAATTAAAATAAACATATTTTAGATTATAAATGCTGATACTTGGATCCATAAAATACGAGCTGTAGTTGTAATATGTTAAGGAATAAAAGAGGAACCAATACAAATTCTTTTGAAGTAAAACTAGTGTAGTAAACAAGAGTTCTTTGGTATTGAGGATAACTGAATGAAATTTCCAAAATTCAAGAAATATACCTTCATTGTTGGAATTAAATGAAAACATTAATTTCACTTCAAAACAATTTCCAACAGATGTCAACTTTTCCAAAACATAAAAGAATTTGAATGAAAAGTCCTATTAAATGATTTGATCATTCAGTGGAAGAAGAAAGGTTTAGTCAAATATAGGCATTCCCAGTACTGCCTTTGAAATGGGCATTTTAGCCACAATTAGTTTTTAATTATTGGGTTATAACACTGATTACAAGTTCCCTTTCTTAAATCAGCTATGCAGAGAAAATTAGCCATAAAGTACCAGTTGCCTTCTTTCTCCTCAATGTATAATTTCCAACAATATCTCCTTTTAGTCTTATTTGCCCTACCATTTCACTTTATAAATTAGTAGATTATGATGAAAAAGTGCAACAGCACTTAATATAAAGGTTAAGTAATTGATTTACTTTTTGTTTATAACAAAAAATATCATTTTTACAAAAATTAAACTGTTTTCAAAAAATTCTCACACAAATTTTGTTTATGTTTCAATTACGCAATTCAGACAATACAACAATCAACATAATTTGTGTTTGTTTACGATGCTTGAAAAAAGGTTGTTTTCCAGTAAATGGTGAACTGTTTGCACACTTTTTCACAATTTAAAAAAAATTATACTGCTTATTTTACACATAAATAGGATATTGCAATTTTAACAAGATTAAAATTGTGAGAAACTAGGGAATGAAAATATGATCACGTTGAGTGTAACGAAACTGTACTGGATGAATCTTGGACTATTAGTGTGTTCAATAGTCTGCTCACTATTACCAAGACTACAGCAACTCTCTCAAAGCCCTAACAAAATAAAGGATTTATCTGATATTACAGAAACTTCAATCAAATTTCCTTGTTCTATTGTTCCTGGACAATTCTATTGCAGCTGTTTGCATTTAAACTTCATTAATGCATTCATTTATTCAGTGACAATTTAAATTCTTTCAAGAATGTGAAAACAATATAAAATAATAACATTACATGAAACAATAAATAAATAAATTGAAAAAAAAAAATCTACCCGATTAAGATTTTTCTGAAGAACACATTTTTATTTATGAATGTCTTATACACCAACTGGCAGATTATATACAAAACAACAAATTTACTGTTTAGATTTCTTGTACAGCTAGTTCATTTAATGTAACTATTAAGACAAAGAAAAAATATTTACAAAAAGTAAAGAAACTGAAACAAATGATTATAAATTCAAATTGAATCATTCTTGGTATGTACTTTCAGATAAATTGCACCAAATTTCAATTGTTATAAAAATGTGTTTTGTTCATGAAAACTTGGAATATTTCAGTATAAACAATACAGGGTTCTGCAAAGTCAACCAATAGTATTCAAACAAAGATATGTTAATTTTTTTCCCCCAAAAATACTCAGACACATTACAACAACAACCATAACCCGGCAAAATGGATTCTGTCATTACATGTCAGGATATCATTTCTGTTCCAAACTTCACCACTTTGAAAAGGATATTAAATTCACCTAGGTGAACACCCAGTTAGCAGAGTGATATAGTACTAAACCACAATAAAGTATGCATTCTTGAATGTATAAGTAAGATTTGGGAGAATTTGGTAGTCTTAGGGGGAGACATACACCCATAAATCTCTATCTCTCCCATGTTAATAAGTCTTTGACTCATTATTTCAGAAACCATCCAACTTAGAGCTGTAAAATTTCAGGAGCAGCTTGATGAAAATGTTTTAAGCCATTACAAGCAGCTTTACAATTTTGAATAGCTTTTTTAATTTACAGCATACTTGAAGTAAAAGTCAAAATTTTTACATGATTATTTCTATACTTTCATGCAGAAATCTTGAAGTGTGAATCATACCATTCTCATTTTGTTACCATATATTCCTTATGAATTCTCATATTTAACTCGTGTAAAAAAAACAACTGAAAATTATCATTTGGGTTGTTTCAGAGATAGTGGGACTAATATGTTCAAAAATGTAATTTTTCAGAAATGTGCATCAAAGTAAATTCTTCCATGAAACCAGTCACCTTGCCTTGGTAGCAACTAAACAATACATGCTAGTAAATAGTCGTGAAAGATAAAGCTTTGCTGAGCAAGCAACGTTAAAGAATGAACTTTTCTCTAGCATCTAGTGAATACCAGAGCCTTCTCGATAAATTTATTCAACAGATATAATAATGAAAATTAGATCTTTTTTTACAGTTGTTGTGTTTTTTCATAACAAAGTTCTCTAACCATTTGTACAGATGTTGAACTTGGAGCAATTCTCCGTCAAGCTAATCACTCATTGCCTTTTAACACTTTGGCGAGGGGCATGGCACCGTTAGATCTGATGGGTTCCCAGGCAGACACCCAACTGGAAATCCACAGGATCTGAAGTTTCTTAACCTCCGTGAGTTCACGGAGAATGGTTATGCAATTCAGCTACAGCGATCAGTTGATTCTTAACCAAAATGACTCATTTTGACAAACACAGACGAAGGAAGATGATAAAAAATATGTTAAAACTGTATTTCACGATGTAAATATAATTTTATTCAGAAAACTCCAAATATTTAGAACATTTAAAAATCTCAACTGTCAAAATTTCAGATTTTCCCCCCTGAAGACTACCAATCAATTGATGATTGATTCAATTTGAGCCAAAATTCTGTGAAAGTTCAATAGATCACTACTGTTCTGCTAGCATTACTATGTAATTCATTATTTATCATTTTGTTACCTTTTCCATTTTCGTCTATACAACATAAAATTGATACTAACACAGAAATCATCAGGAAATTGCATGTCCATTGCAATAAATACTATACTTTTTTAAAATCCTTTCTCCAAATTCAAAATTAAATTTTTAATAGAACAACTTCTTGAGTATGTAGGCTATTCTAATTGTTTAGAAGAAAGCATTCTGAGATTGTATGTTATTATTAGGATCTTTTTGAGGTATTAATAATATTACATAAAAGCAACAGTCAATTATATCAATGACTGTACAAGGTGCAAATGCAAAGGACAATTAAAGGTCATTAATAATAACAGTGTATTTTCTCTTTGGCTTAACTTACTCTTCAAAATGTTACTACTTTACCAATGCAGACACAGTTTCTTATCAGACTGATCTTTAATTCAGGAGGAAATTCCACTGGGTTGCCCTCAAACACTGAGAAGGATGAAGAGGGCAGGAAGATATCTTGAATGAAATTTTGATTTTACAAATGCATTGGTAGTTTCGCATTGGCAAGATTCAAAGTTGTTTAATGTAAATCGGGACACTTGAAAGCTAAAACCCTAATTACTCTGAAATTCATAGGAAAGCACCAACTGCGTCTTAAGAGTTATTTTGGCATAAAATGTGCTTGAATTTGGCAATTTTCATATCAAAGTTGTTTACATTTTTCTTTGTTCTTTATGGATGAAAAACACTAACTCTATAAGGAACATCTTGTACCACAACAAGGTGTCACAAAGCTGAATGGACCTACTGAATTAAAGATTAACCTTCAATTACACAACTTTGAATTCTCATTTTACCTACTTACAGAAGTTCATCAGATGTGTAATAAAGTGTGAAAACTTAATACCTGTTAGGAAAATGTAATGTACAAAGTGTGGACATGTATTGTATTATTTGGATTGCATGTTATTATTTTGAACTTACCTTCAGGTTCTTTCTCCTTCGATACATCTTCAGTCTTACAATATCTGTCTTGTGGCAGAACGAGTTTTGGGGAAGATGAATTCACAACCAATGCTGATTTTGCCACTTTACAAGTGGATTGATCAGATGTACTATTGGGAGGTGGAGATGGTTGTTTAATAGGAACAATTGCGATGAGATTCGGGTTCACTCTATGACGTATAAACGGACCCTATAGTGTTAAACAAAAAATTCAATTATTTCATCACAACACACTGTTGACATAACCTAAATATTTTTAACAAAATATGATAATATCTTACATTACGCATATGCCTCCCTCTGTGCATTCCACCTCTATTGTAATCATTTCTAGGCCGATGAGCGACTGGAGGAAGAGATGATGCTTCGGACTGCGGTGAAATTACAGGGGCGACCCACTGTGTGGGGGCATTCTGGGGAGGAGAAGTAGGCTTCGCTTTCAACGTTTGCAGAGCCGCCAGCCGCAAAGCTTTCAAATCTTCGTCATCGTCATCTTCGAACCCTTGCTTCATGAATGAAATTAAGAAAATTAGTACTTGATACTTCAGTTCCAATGTAATTCAAAAGTATGTTAAGAGAAAGTTAGGAATGCCATAATTTTTTTTCAGTATGCTTTCAAAATGTTAGCTACTGTAAGGAAATCCGACTATAAAATTCATGTAACCTTGCTTACCTGGGTTCTTAATGCCATTTTCATTAATAATTAGTCTCGCAAATGCGAGCTTTTATGCGCGTATAACAATGTTAGTATCACCACCACTAGCTACTCCATGATGTTTCTGCGGGTGCAGAATGAGCAGAATGGTGACGATGGTGACGAATGAATGCCATCAGCAAAGCCAAGGTGCACAGAAAAAAATATGTACAAAACACATTAAATCATGCAAGCGTCATTCACGTACTTCCGCACATAGTAAGTTGCACTGTAGATTGGCACAGAACCACCTAAAATAGTGGTACGCCTCGTAAAAACAGTGACGCTTCGCAAAAAACCATAGATACGACGTCAGAGAACGTACCTTTAGTTCCTACTCTGACAACTTGGAGCGCTAAAAACGCAAGCGAACGCACGGTGCGCAACTTGCGCGTTCGTTAACACTAAATACATCAAAAGAATTATAATTTGGTATATATCAATAAACTAATGTACAATTACTATTAAAAAATTATTAAAATAATTAAATCAGATTAAATATAGTTAATTGATTAAATTAATTTTTGATCAATGACAATGTAATTTTAAGTGTACTCTTGAATTCAGTAGTCTTTCATCTTCAATCACCATGAGCGAATCACTAACCGCCAATTTACAAGTGGTTTTGAATGTCGATTTACGAAATATAATTTCCGATGCTTCAACATGATTTTTTTTTCGTTTGGTTCAGACATCAGATCCAAATTAAGTAAAATTCAATAAATAAATAAATAATTCGAGTAAAAAAATCCTTATTGAGATTTTTAGAGTACAATAACATTGCAATAAAAAAAATAGAAACTTACGTGTATGTTGTGTAATTTACGATAATCAACACGTATTCTTCTAAAAGAGCCTTATTTTACTCTACACAAAAATTTCTCTGCAGCAGCAAAAACTTTGAAACAATGGAATGATTTATTACGAACCCTCGAAGAGGGAGATTAAAACAAAAACTGTTTATGTAGCTGTTTTAATCTCGATTACTCTTTGTTTTGGACTATTTTTTTGGCCTAGTCATTACTATGAGTCTTGAACCAGTGATGTAATGATGATGAAAGGCATTTCTTTCAATTATATTAAATATCTTCTATTGCTTTGAATAATTATTATATAAAATCAATGACTTTTTGAATGATCAAATGTCAATTACTACTTTAACGGAACAGGTACACTGTTTTGTTTCTACGACGTATTTTAATCCGATTACAAGGAGAAAATAATTTAAAATTTGAAATAAAAAATTACTAGTTGCGGGTACATATATGGATTCATGTGCGAATCTTTGTGAAGTTTTCGTAATCAAATTTCTCTACATGTAACTTCAATATTACATTTTTTTTAAAAATATTTTTCTTTTCATTTCATTTTCTCCTCCGTTTCTTTCAAAAATCTGTTTCACGAGTAAAGCGAAATATTGAGTGCCATTTCTTTACAATCACACGACAGAACATACTGAATTTTCTTTTTATTTTACAGGCTTACGAACTTTGAATGTCTCGGAATGAGAACATGCTAACAGTAATTTCACATGAAAAGAATAATAATTAACTGAAATGCGCACAGATGTGCATTTGTTTCTAACAGAAGTTGCGAATTTCACTTTGTGTTCACTATTGCAGCCCCATTGTTTTTTCACATATTCATTTATAAATAATTTCCTTTGATTGCACCACTCTTATATGATAACGAGTGCAGGTTATCCCAATTAAATTTCGCCCACCGACGTCTCTTTTGGCGTGTAGAAGGTCTTTGTTTTGCAAAGTAAAGAGTGGAAACCGTGCCAGCCTGTTGACCACATGCATCATCTCATAGTTTGTCTTTGTACATTTTCGGTTTGTCATTGCTTCTGCGGCGTAGAATTACGGTCAGATCTGTTTCTTTTTTTCCCCTCTCCTTTTCTGACAACACGCTGTGATGATATTCTGTGAGAAATAGAAGTCTTAAATCTTCTATCAGTAGGGTTTCTCTTGTCAGCTCGTAAACTAATCTTGATTTAGTTGTTATGGAAGCTCCTAATATTCTTTTTAAGAATGTGGCTTTTACTTTTTCTAGTACTAGAGGTTCGACGAAATGATCTCTCTCCCGTTGGATAGTGTGGTGTTAATTTTTGCTTTGAAAATTTTCATTGCTCTGTTATGGCTCTTTAAAGCTTTATATCATTTATTGCAATAATTGCTCGAGCTGCCCTCTCTTCTAAATGTTTCGTGAAGCCTGCCTGAAGCCTGTAGAGTGATTCCTAGGTATTTGAATTCGTTGACTACTACGTAAGAGCCGTGTATTTTTATTTCTGTCCCTGTTGGGGTGTTTCCTCCTTTTCAGAAAACCATCATAATTGTACATGTAAATAATGTAATTTCATTAATGTAAACAATGGTTGGGAATGCTTTTGGAGTATGCCCTCTGAACGTTTGAAATATTATACTTTTACGAAAGTAAAGGTTTTTTTAAAAACATAATGAATCAGAAAAAATATTAACATTATTAACCTAGCGGAAGAAAATCATCTAAAAAAATAACAGAAGCTTCAAAAACATTGTTTTCCTATTCGAATTTCTTGACTAGCTTCCTAATTCTTTACAATATTTGCCCATATTAATTTACGAAACTAACATAAGAAAGAAAAACATTATTATTGTACAGCATTTAAGAACGGTTTTGTAAGCTTTAGTAATATCTGTATACCAGTAGAGGATGTGACTACATTGTTAATGTAGCTTAATTTGTCATAAACATTGAACAAATATAGTTCCGCAACAATAAAGTTGGCGCATTATTATAAAAGTAGAGTTGAGCCATGCACGTATCCGTGAATCAACAAAGTTTATAAATTTTCCACGTCTACGAATCGTGGACGAAATACCATTGTCATATTATTGTTGAAGTCTTACCGGTGTAGATTTGTATCGCCATGATTTGACAAGTGACCGCACTACTACACTAGTACTAGTACACATAAACCGAAATGACCGCAAACTGTAAGTAAGAAAGAAGTAAACATGAGAAATATGAAGTGGTTGAACAGATACACGAGATTACTGAATCTGAGAAGAATACTAGTGGGAAGGGGAATCTTGAAACTTCATCACCATCTCGAAAAACAACTGAACTTTTGCAACTTTCAAAATTTCGAAGATTTTAATGAAAATTGGAGCTACATCATGTTTATAAATGCACTTTTCTTTATTTGAGCAAAAAATTTGCAGAATTTTTCAGGAAATTTGCATGATGTCAGATGTGGTTCGTAAGTAGGTACCACCAAAAATTAAAATATTAAAATGATACCGGGAACGGCACAATAACTAGATCTTCTCCTGTGTTCCCCAAATTGAAGCTCAATAGCTTCTAATCTGACAGAATTATGCAGGTCATATCCCGATGCATCCCGATTTTGGTATTCAAAACTGCATGTCACTTGCTCACTCGTCACTTGCTCCAAACCTAACCGTCACTAAATCAGCACTAACAGACTTTAATTCTGACGTGTGGGTGAAGTTACCTCACAAAAGAACCTTAAACATAGATTTTACTATCGAAAATTTGAGATTGTTTTATTGATGAGATTCCTATATATTAAAAAAAAAAACGAAGTTTATCAAAGAACCGGTTTGGTAAGGTAGTTATTTTTGAAGTACTATGTACACCGAGGAAATGACGATCATTAACAAAATTTATATTTCAATTACTAATAGTACTGTTGTTTCAATTGCATTGCATTTTTATTAACTTTTTTTGAAGTAATATTGCTGCGAATAATAGATATGATGCACGATATCCACAAAAATTAGTGTAATAATAGTAGTTTATGCAATTAGTTTATAATGTTAAGCTTTATTCCTTGAGTTCATGCTTTGAAAACGAGCGACGTTAGGAGCGAGTTTTCAAATATGTACAAATGCAATAAAGCAACACTATAAACGAGTTGCATTTTCTTGTATAATAGCATTATAAACTTATAATAGAATCAAACTAAATTTTGCGAAACAACTTTCTTGCAATGTCTCGGGTATTCCACATTTGTGCAAGAAAACGGTCGTCGGATGTTCCGGTTACCTCTGCCACCCCCAATTCTCTCAGTGTCATTGGCTGAATGTGTAATGACGTAGCATTCGTGCTGTAAAATGCTAATACGTCATCACTTGTGTTGTAATAAGCTCGATTATGAACGATTTCTTGCAACAGATCATTTATAATGCTGAAATACTATATATAAAATCTACATCAGCATTACAATTAATATATTCTGAAATGTAATTATTTAGAATAGACATAATTATTATAATTTATTTTATTTTAATTAGCAAAATCACCTTTTTTATTATCCTGTGTAAAAATAACTATTTTACTGATACAGCGTCTTTATCGCCCTAGTAATTCGATTTTTGAAAATAGCAATGAGTCAATTTATTTACATGACCTTCACAACAATCATGATCTTCACTAATCGTCGAATAATTGAATACGTCGGGGCAGTGGCAACTTGCGCTAGGTACGCAACCCCCAGATAATCGAAAAAATATGTTAGGAATCAAAATTTCCATATAATTCAATATTGAAGTTGTTCAATATTCAATATTCAATATTGAACAAGACATACAATAATCAAGGTCAATATTGTAGCAATACCAATATACTACTAGTATATTCTAGCTCTTTGAGCATACCGATGTATATGAAATTATTTTTAAATCAAAGAGCGTCTAACGAGCGCAGTTTCTGACGTCTGGTGCTCTTTATTATGGTGCTCCTAGACTAATGGTGGGTGAACTGCGTGAAAACTGCAGTGAATTTAAACTCACCTGTATTTTGACTTCAAAAAAACATGGCGGCCACTAGTTCGGCGAGCCTCCACCTAGAGCGCTGAAACTATAGAGATAGCCACTCTATCTAATATATTCTAAGCTAGTTGTCCGTGTCACACTCTTAAGCGCGTTTACTGCGTTTACTCTTTGGACCTACGACGGGGTCCAGGTTATTTTCGCATCGGAACCAGTCACCTGCACAAAAGGGTGGGAGTGGGGTGGGGTGGGGGGTTGATCGCAGAATGCGGCGCGGCGCCCGAGGGGAAAATAAAATTTCCGACTTCGTATGAAACTAGCTGCAACTTAATTTTATGAATTTCGCGTATTATTGAAAGTTTACAAGATCTTTTAATTCTTGACGGCATTGAATGCATTATTTATTGTTTGGAGAATTTATTATCATTTGATTTTAAGTATATTACAGAAATTACTTAAGTTTTACTATATATTAGTGTTTTGAATTTTGGAAATTACATTTCGTTATTCGATGACGCTGCAACCTCCAGCCCCTGCCTCTGCCCCACGGGCGAAGGAATTACTCGCGGAA